ATGAGTTGATGTTGGTTTCAGCTATGACATGCAAATTTGGTTTACATTATTGTTTTTGCCTATATAAAGGTTAAAATACATATTATGGACAATATTTTTGGTGCTGCTTTTTGAAAAGCCTTTGTCAGCTTATTTCAGCAATACATAGTTTTAAATGTTGTTGTATATTACTTTGAGTTTTATGTTGGCCTACACAAATTAAATTTAATCCAGCCTGCAATTAGTTACCATTTGAGGAATTATTTGATTAAACCATCATCAATTCTTGACACCGCCCAAAAAAAACAACCTTGGATGTATTGAGAATAATACATTGACCTGGACAGGTTGGACAAATGGGCAGAAAACAACAGAATGCAGTTCAACAAGGAGAAATGCAAAGTGCTGCACCTAGGGAGGAAAAATGTCCAGCATACCTACTGCCTAGGAAATGACCTGCTGGGTGGAACGGAAGCGGAAAGGGATCTTGGAGTCCTAGTGGACTCCAAGATGAACATGAGTTGGCAGTGTGGCAAAGCCATCAGAAAAGCTAATGGCGCTTTATCGTGCATCAGCAGATGCATGACGAACAGATCCAAGGAGGTGATACTTCCCCTTTATCGGGCGCTGGTCAGACCGCAGTTGGAGTACTGCGTGCAGTTTTGGGCGCCACACTTCAAGAGGGATGTGGATAACCTGGAGAGGGTCCAGAGAAGGGCCACTCGTATGGTTAAGGGCTTGCAGGCCAAGCCCTATGAGGAGAGACTGGGGCACCTGGACCTCTTCAGCCTCCGCAAGAGAAGGTTGCCTTGTGGCTGCCTGTAAGTTCATCACGGGGGCACAGAAGGGAATTAGTGAGGTTTTATTCACCAAGGCGCCCCCGGGAGTTACAAGAAATAATGGCCAGAAGCTAGCAGAGAGCAGATTTAGACTAGACATTAGGAAGAACTTTTTCACAGTTAGAGTGGCCAAGGTCTGGAATGGGCTGCCAAGGGAGGTGGTGCTCTCCCCTACCCTGGGGGTCTTCAAGAGGAGGTTAGATAAGCATGAGGCTGAGGTGATCTGAACCCAGCACTCTGTCCTGCCTATGCAGGGGGTCGGACTTGATGATTTATTGAGGTCCCTTCCAACCCTAGCATCTATGAATCTATTGTTTTGCTTATGTTCATCATGGCAAACAGAACATACAGGACAGGTACAGACATTACACTTTTACTGGTATAAGTGATCAGAAACTGGTCTATACTCATAAGACAACAGAAGTTCAGTACACATAGATTGGTTTAAAAATGGCAGGACTGAATCTAAGATTTAACCCCTCTACCAAAGCATGAATGTGTGTTCTGTTTTCTACCAATCTAAACTACACGGCTTACAGAAAACCATGTAACTTAGATCGATTTCACCTCCTGCTTTTTGAATGTCTGAACCTAGCTACAGTTAAAATGGTTGTACCATTTTAGTACTATAATCATAATGTTCTTCAAGCGCAAAGTGTTAATGGATACTGATAGCAATGGAGAGACTAATGAATCCTAAATTTGGAGGACATTTTTATTTACTCATGACCAAATAATTTTCTGTTATTGGTTATAAAATGTTTCAGAATTTAACCAGCCACAGCAGTAGCATAATGAGGGGTAGGTGACTGGTGCACCAGCCTGGGGTGTCCAAGAACAAGGAGGTGCAAGAACTGCAGGCCAGTGGCCTGGGAGCTGTCATCACCGCTACCCAAGGCACAAAGCCTGGTTATTACACCTCTGAAACACAATACAATTAGCCTTTGTCTAGATTATAAAAAGTCCCACTTAAATACTGAGGTGCTAACAACAATAAAATGCATTCAAGAGTATAAATGGTTTTAAGATAGCAAGGGTGTTCCAGAATACACACAATACTTGTTACTAAAGGAAGTTGTCTTTTTTTATTGTTATCTTTTTAGTTTATCTTCCCTTTCCTGTGTAAACTGCTCCGTGTTGTGCCAAAAGAGGGTGTGTGTTAACTTTAGTGACAGAATGTTACACACATTAAACAGCTCTGTACACAGTTTCCATACAGTGTGAATTTCCACATACTTTTAAGGAATGCTTTTTGCCAGAATGGGGATGCAAATAAAGCTTTATAATTGTTAAACTAGTTCCATGAATTTTGAGGCTGTACAGTAATAAACTTACTGTTATGTGAAATACAAATATGTTATAGATGAAAGTGGGAGGATTATAAATATATATCTAATTTGAAGGGTGGAAATGGCTTTTTGTGAAAGGAAATATTATGTTATAGACAACAATGGGAAACGGTTATGACAAGTTTAGTTGCTTAAGAGGGAAAATGAGTGCATAATGCTGAAAGTTTATCAAAACTGAAAGAACTACTGATGTGAAATTGAGCCTCCTAAGAAAATTCTGTTCTGTCGCTGTTTTGCTTTGCTGTTGTCGCATGTCATGCATGAATGAAAATGCTGCATTCTCCGGGGAGCAGTAAAGCCTCTGTGTAGGTTGTTTATTTCCTTAATCCCTCCTTCTTCTTGATTCTTAATGTCACATATAAAATGGAAAGCCTGTAAATATAGTGATTGTTGTACTGATTATCACCTGCATTGGGAAACGCCCTGCCTGGCTTTGGTAACCCTAGCAGTCTCCACATGTTACAGCCGCTTAGATTTTAACCTGACTACTTTATCAGATATGTGAAGCTCAGTATGAGGTGCCCTAGGGCAGCACAGATGGGGACTGCTTGTTTCCTTTTCTCACTCTTATTGTGAATAGACACTAAAAGGTCCTCCTCGCTTTTGTATGATTAATTTACTTTGAACTGTCCCTACTATTTGGGACCTGCCTAACATTTCTCACCATTCTGCAAACCCAAGCTGCAATCTCCAAACACACATTCTGAGCTTCATTGTCTTTTGTATTTGAAGGCTACAGTGTTAGAATTGTACTTTAAAAGGTGTGATGCAGAGAGATGCTGCTTCATAGGAAGTTGCAGGATCAAGCCCAGAATCCCTGAGACAAACTGTTCAAGGATTATTTTGATGGTTTCATTGACACGGGTGGAGGAAAGAAAGATTGCTGTTGCTCTGTGATGCCTTCAGATGTCTTTTGATCAGAGATACTTTTCAGGAAAATGTGTGGTTTTATAAACCAGCTACCATCACTCATGTAGCTGTAGGGGTAGCAGACCAGAATAAAAGATGTAGTTATAGGAGGGAAAATCAGAAGATAAGATATTTTTCAAGTGGTATGCAAGTGCTTTTGTATAGTTTGTGGAAGGGCCAAGCCTGGATGTACTATGTGAGGATGCTCAGGTGTAGAAAATTAGGATGAATTTTCTAAAGTCTCTGTTTCCTTATTAAGGAAATAAAAATGCTGTTAGCTGGAATAGTTTGCCCTTTGGACATTGATATGTAAGAGCACATTGATATCCAGTTTCCTGGCCAAACAATAGTTTAACACGGATGTTAATGTCTTGTTGCACTGGGGCATTAACGAAGGCCACCTAGGATAGATCAGTATAGCTTCCTATTTCAATTGCGTGACTAAAAACTGTTGTTAAAAAAATAATCTGGCTACAATATATGGTTGTTGATTTGCTTTCATATTCTGAACATAGTTTATCACTCCCCTATTTTTCTCATTTTTTTTCTTTTTTCTGTGTCCAGTCCTATGTTATCCTATTCTGATTATATTGCAGTTCACTGTAAGTGCATCACTATAGTGGAGGCTTGTTAGGCTCCTTTTTCATATGAGCATAGGGTTTGTTAATCACATGCTGGTTTAGGAAAACACTGCATGATATCTTTGAACCCTATACTCTTCCTCGACAGCCTGGCTAACAAATGTCATTGACTGTGATGTACAAGAAGGAATTCTATTGTAAGTAAATTGTCAAAGTGGCTAACCTTGCCCGCACCCAATTGTCAGAACTGTGATTCAGTTTTTCTGTCAACATCAGCTAAGGCTAACCCGGTCAGGCTTATGCTTCTGCAGTAAGAAGCCTGAGGAGTTGTGCTTTTCAGCTTATCACATTTTATTAACCTCAGTTTACTGTTGTAATAATCAATTGTACCCAATTCAAATTCCTATATTGGTAAAAAAATAACAGACTATATAGGTTCACATATGTGTATTTTCTCTCCAGTGCATTGCTTTAAAATGAAGTATTACCAAAAAGTGTCTTAAGGATACTGACAGTATGCCTAGGCACACTCCCTTAAGTAGTTGTTCTAGTTTAGTTGGATTAACTCTCTGTTCCAGTTTAAATGCAATCCATCTATTAATATTACTTGGCAAAGTTCATTTGGAAGACTGTTTATCTGTAATATTTGTTCATGTTAAAAAGAAGGGGTATAGGGAAATAACATTGCTACCATCCTCTCTGCCTCTACTTTCATTTAAAAACAAAAGATATAATAGGAGCAATTACTATAAATAAGAAACGAGGACACTCTCATAGCCTGATGTTTCTTCTGTTCTTTGAGGAAAGGAACATAGTTAGACTGCCTAAAGCTGTGATTAAGACATCAGGCATTAAAATGCTCATCTGATTCTGCCACAAAGGTTTGATCACATTTTGTTAAAATAGCATGTAATCCTTTTTTCTAATGCATAGTAGATGGCAAATGTTTTTTTTAATAGCTTAATAACCTGTGTACCCTGAGGTATAATGCACAAATAGGGGACAGGATGTGTTTTTAATTAAGAATGTGTCTTAAGGAAAAGTGTCTTGGTTTGAAATAGTAGCCTCCACTTGTTAAAGTCCTATAACCAGAAGTAAGTTTGCTAGCTTGGAGAAAAACATGCATTACACCTTCTCATTTGAACTTGTGGAGTGTGTTGACATTATCCTGCTGTCTTGCTGGCGGGGGGAGCCTTTTGGTGCAAGTATCAAAACTGAACAACTGTATATGGGTATATTGAGATAATTGTGTAAAAAGAAGACTGCCTGAATGAGTTTCAAAATGTGTTATTTCTTCATTATCTAGCACTTTATAATTAACTGTTCTTTTTTTATTATTTCAGGAAGCTGCCACTTTTGCTAGAGAGCAAGGCTTTGAGGTGAGTTAACCCACAATTGCACACTAAACAGATCCTAAAGGTTTTTTTCTTGCTGATAATGAAGTTCTTTTGGACAATGATTGATGTGCTATTATACTCTCCAAGCCTCGCAGCAGTTGCCATGGAAACTTGGCAGTCGTCATGGTTTCTTTGTTCTGCCAGCTCAGTGTTATGACGCACTCTGCTAGGTCTGCACCCAACATCGCCTACAGATGTTATTTATTGAATTCTGAAAAGCCTCTTGGGAAGCCGAGAGGTTGGGCACGGTTTCAAGCTGCCTCTGCAGATATGGGACCTGTCAGTTTGTTCAGTTAAAAAGCTACCTCATTAGCTGCATTACACTCCACAAGGATTCACTGCTAAACCAGTGGTGAAGCAAGACTAAATAGTGAAATATAACGCCGTTTAAATAACTTAAACCCTGCCACATGCAGATTATCATTATGCAAATGACTTTTAGACAGGTTGTATATAAAATTGTTAGCAACTGATTAATGTAAGCCCTGCTTCTACAAACAGCCTTTTAGGAGAGTGGTGTGGATTTTTGTTTCAAAACATAGACAAGTTGGTGTTTTCCATCTGTGTTCTCAAAAATGTACACTCCCCTTTCAACTAACACTTGCTTTCTTGAAGTAAACATGGCTGATTTTACAATGATTTTCAGAGCTTTTGATGTTGACTTGATCATCTTTATGTATTAATTTGAGTGTCTAAGCCTTTTCAATAGTTTCTCATCAGTTAAATTTAGATAACTTGATCAGGAGAGCTATCAATTATAGGTTTATGGTATTATCTACAAATATGCAGATCTTAAACACCATAATTAATGTGACAACAACTATACTAATTTTACTGATTATGATCCTACTGAAATCTCAGTTGTAGAACAGAGGTCATGTTAATCCCTTTGTGTAAATGTTCATGAGAATCAAACTCATCTTAAATGGTATGTTTGCAGTGCAAATGTATGGCTAAGGGGGTTGACTCTTTAGCTCCCATTTCATTAATAATGGGAGCAGCACAGTTTGGACCTCATATATTAATTTTAGAGCATGCCACTTTTCTGTGGGATGATTATATGCAGAATATAAGGGACAAAGTTACAGATTTTGGTTGCCCAAATTTGGTTTCTTTAAGACCATTCCCTCAATGCCATCAGTGTTTTGGATATTAAAACTGTGTGCTGTCCCATTTCATTTTAGGAATCATAAATTCTAGTGGTCGCTGTGTAGAAATCTAGACTTTTTATCACTGTCAGTTTTCATTTGTATAATCTGTATTGTTAGCATAAAAATACACTTTCAGTTTATTCTGTCAAATGAATTAATTTCACAGATGGTTCCAAATATAACATATAGCATAACAAATTATTGGGACCTGGTAGTAGCTAGACAATAAAAAAGAGAGGAAGTAGTGTATTAAGCATATCCATTCTATATTTTTATTGCCCCCTTGAGCTAAAGACTTTGAATGCGCCTGGTTTAAATTCAGTCCTAGTGACAAACTGCTTTTGCTGGTGTCTGCTAACCACCATCATATTAACCTTTCCATTAGTGCTTGCTTAGAGATTCTAGCAGTTTTTTTCTGAACATCCTCAATCTGCCACATTTGATTACAGCATATCAGTAAAGTGCAAAATGATTATGATTTTATCTCTTATTACCCCCTTGCTTGGCAACAACTTGCATGTCAGGTTTGCTGACAGAGATGTATCAGATTTGATAAGTGTCCATTGTTTGTTTCTTTCTTTATGACTTGAAATAGAATCCCATCACCAATAAGGGATATTAAGGGAAAGTGGACTATCCTCAATTAGATGTTTCATTAATAATAAAATTTAACACATATTTGAGAGCCAAACTGGAATAAGGTGCGCCAAGGTGCTGCTATTTTAGAACGCCTTCAGAACTTGCTTTGGATAGCACAGAGTAATTTGAACATACTTGCTGGAAGGTTTGTACTGTTATTAAAGTACAGTGTAAACTAAAAAGGTTTAGAAACATGTCTAATACAAAAAGAAATGCACTATCTGTAAGCATGCCATAATATGTGGAAACTATATAAACTATCTGTAAGCATGCCATAATATGTGGAAAAATAAGTATAGTTTAGCTACTAAAAAAGGTCAAACCCAACCCAATATATGACATTCTAACTATTTGGTTTCTTTGTGAATTTTTAATATTTAAAAAAAAGAAGAAAGAAATCTTAATCTCCAAAATGGATTCAGTAACTTTCAGTGTGAAGAGACAGCTCGCAGAGTACTGGGAAGTGAGATAAGAACTGGAGCTGGGCAAAGCAAAAAGCAAGAGTGTTTTTTTTTCAAGTAGATGATGGAAAATTGTTGGTACCTGATTTAAATGACAACCTGTTAGGAATTTTAAATTAAGATACTTTACCTAAAATTTTCAAAAGGTTCTTTTAGCATCGAAAATTAGTTTAACCAGAATTTTTCATATCTGCTGCAATTCTAGCTCCAAATTATTAAAAGGATTTGCTACTTCTGTTAGACCCAGTGCTTTTATACATACACACACACACACACACACACATACACACACACACACACACACACACTGAAGAAAAAGAAATGCAATTAAGCCATTTTTAAGACAGTTACACTTAAACAAGGAAATACCACATGCCTTTGAGAGCAAGAGGCAGGGGAGGATCCCTACCCCTATGATAAAAATATAAAAAATGTTGATAAGAAAGATTATGCTTGAAGGATTTTTTGGATGCCTCCCAGTTCTAGTTCATCACATAGATGTTCTTCCATCACACTGAAAGAAAACTTCAAATGAGTTTTCATCCATCACTGTATTCTAAGGCCACTATTTCCACCCCTTATCTCCTGACCCACATTCATCTATAGTAATTGTAGGTGGAAAGTTATGTCTAATGTACATTCTGTGCCAGAAGCACATCTGTACCTCCTTACTCTGTGAAATTTCTTGCTCTATGAAATTTTTGGTTTGCTAAATGAGTGTGTGCTCCCTCTGACATCAGTGCTGTATCCAGTAGTGATCATAGCTTCATACGTAGGTCTAAAATCTCGTTCCACAGGCAATGGTAGCTCCATATTCTGGTGAGCTAAATGTTTCATTGGAGTGTGGTTCAGAGAACATAAAGATTGAATTACTGTTTGTTGGTCCTGTGGAAAGGCTGACAATGTCCTAAAAATCATTAAACTTAGCAAGTATTATACCTTCATAGAATAATTTAGGGATCAGCTCTGATCTTAGAACCAGATATGAATAGGGTGTATAATAAAATGAGGTAATGTGCATCTTGGAGGCTGGTAGCAACCTTTACACACAACAGCTATTCTCTATAGATATTGCAGACATCTAAAAACACATATTTTCCACTCTGGAACATATTTGGAAACTCTAGCAGCTGTCAAGAGGAATTGATAATGCAGAGCCAGCTAAAGAGCTCCCACTCTGGATCACCTGGACAGCATACTCCACTAGCAGGAGGTCATTCTTTAAACTTGTTGTGGCAGAGCACAGGGTGTCTCTGCCACTTTAAGGGCCTGGAGCTGGCAGCCTCCAGGTGCCTGACGACACTGGTTGCGCCCGTGCATGGCCATCTGTTCGATGTTTCCCGGCCAATTCACCACTGTGACAGGGGGACCTCCTGGGGCCGAGCTCCATGGCCCGCCCACCTGTCACCGTGACAGGAGGCCTACTCAGGGCCGAGCTCTTCGTGGCCCGCCCACCTCACTCCCACTCTCGGGGTCTATGTACCCCGCACGCAACCCACTGGTTGCGCCCGTGCATGGCCATCTGTTCGATGTTTCCCGGCCAATTCACCACTGTGACAGGGGGACCTCCTGGGGCCGAGCTCCATGGCCCGCCCACCTGTCACCGTGACAGGAGGCCTACTCAGGGCCGAGCTCTTCGTGGCCCGCCCACCTCACTCCCACTCTCGGGGTCTATGTACCCCGCACGCAACCCACTGGTTGCGCCCGTGCATGGCCATCTGTTCGATGTTTCCCGGCCAATTCACCACTGTGACAGGGGGACCTCCTGGGGCCGAGCTCCATGGCCCGCCCACCTGTCACCGTGACAGGAGGCCTACTCAGGGCCGAGCTCTTCGTGGCCCGCCCACCTCACTCCCACTCTCGGGGTCTATGTACCCCGCACGCAACCCACTGGTTGCGCCCGTGCATGGCCATCTGTTCGATGTTTCCCGGCCAATTCACCACTGTGACAGGGGGACCTCCTGGGGCCGAGCTCCATGGCCCGCCCACCTGTCACCGTGACAGGAGGCCTACTCAGGGCCGAGCTCTTCGTGGCCCGCCCACCTCACTCCCACTCTCGGGGTCTATGTACCCCGCACGCAACCCACTGGTTGCGCCCGTGCATGGCCATCTGTTCGATGTTTCCCGGCCAATTCACCACTGTGACAGGGGGACCTCCTGGGGCCGAGCTCCATGGCCCGCCCACCTGTCACCGTGACAGGAGGCCTACTCAGGGCCGAGCTCTTCGTGGCCCGCCCACCTCACTCCCACTCTCGGGGTCTATGTACCCCGCACGCAACCCACTGGTTGCGCCCGTGCATGGCCATCTGTTCGATGTTTCCCGGCCAATTCACCACTGTGACAGGGGGACCTCCTGGGGCCGAGCTCCATGGCCCGCCCACCTGTCACTCTCTGGGGCCGCCCCCTCACACAGGGGTTCCTCATCGCCGCCCCCTCACACTGGGGCTCCCCATGTTCTCGAGCCTTCGGTCTTTTAGGCCCCATGCACTGCTATCCTCTCAACTGGGCTCACCGTCCTGCTATCCCCTTTTCCCGAAGCCATCTTCCCCTCTCGGGTGTGGTTCCCCCGGAACCTTCGGCGTCTTGCCCTGGCCCACCTCAAGGCCAGTCAGGACCCCAGGCCCCCGGCTCTTGGGTGTCCCTCGCAGTGGGCCCCTGGCCCTTTTGACCCTCGTGGTCCTGGCCCCAGCATGGGCCAGTCGAGGGTACTCTCCCCTTCGGGCTGACCACCGCAGGACCCTGCCCCCTCGAGGCCTATTGTTGTGCTGGCCTTCTACCGGGCTCGATGTACGGCCCCTCTCGGGCTCCTCATCGCTGGCCCCCTTCACACTGGGGCCTCTCACACTACCTCCCCCTCACACCGGGGCTACACAACCCACTGGTTGCTCTCACCACTGCCCCCTCTCACTGGGGCCACCCCCTCACTGGGGCCAGGGTCATCGTACCCCGCACGCAACCCACCGGTTGCACTTGTGTAATGTGCCCATGAGATTACAGACATTAAAAACAGGATTTAAACAAAGAGTACAGTTTTAAAAGAGTACAGTTTCCAAATAGGTAATAATTGTAATTAATAATTTTATTTACTATGCTGGTCTAAATAATACTTTTAACATGGTCTTAGAAGTTTGTACTGAATTAGAAAGCTACAACAAGCAGTAGGATAGTACCACTGCACAAAGACACATTCAGGCATAGCTCAACCACTTGCTTATTTGGTCCATTGGTAGCATTAATACTTAATTGGTTCAACACCAAAATGAAAACTGCTACACACATCTACCAATTGACTAAACATTAGAAAGGAACATATTTCTTGAAATGGTAAATCTAAGTAAAAAAGCCCAAAGGTCAAAAGTAAGGAAATGAAAATCTTTAGAGCCAGTTTTAGTACAGCTGCTTAAGCATTATAGAAATGCTAGTGAAGATAAGCATATGCCAAAGAAGAAGAAGCAGGAAGAGAAAGAATGGATTACTAGTCTCTATGGTTTAAGTGTCCAGGTAAAATTCCAGCTAAATGGTGTCCTAGAAAAGTTAGACATCCTGTCCAAGGCATACACATGGGAAAGAACATTAGCTATGACAGATGTAAATGCTATATGGAGACTGTCAGGTCTGAGAGAAGAAATTTAAAGAGCGCATTGCCAAATACATACCACTAAGTAAGAATAAATTATTTAAAAATTTATTTCAGAAGCAGGAAACATGAAGATGAATAGGTGCACTGGACTATGAGAGAGGTCATGGAGTATTAAGATGAGAATAATGATGTTGCAGAGGGCATATACAATCTCCTTGCATTAGTTTTCACTATGGCAGATACTGGGAGACACCTAACCCAGATCTACTGTTTTTAAATAGTAAAGCTAAAGTACTGTCAAAAATTGCAACATAAAACAAAGGAAATTTCCAACAACATAAACTAAGAAGTAACAAACTACCAAGACTGAATAGTATGCATGACAGACTTCTCAACAAATTTACGAATAAGGTGACTGAGATGCTGAGGAAAACATGCAACTCTTATCAAAATCAACTGTTATTTCACAGGGTGGCAAATGTTCTACTCATGTTTAAAAGTTACACTAAAAGTAATCTATGGAATTATGGACCAGTAGTACTTAATTTAATATAAGGAATACTTGTTGACATATAATTACAAACAGAATCATAAAATGCCTAATTGAGTAATAATGTTCTGGTAATTATGTCATCATAGTTGTTCCATAAGAAACAATTTGTGACTAGAATTCCTTAATCTTGCCAATAAAATATTTAATAAAGAAGAAATAATCAACACAAGTAATTTAGATTTTCAAAAATGTTTGTCAAAGCCCTTCACAAGAGAATATAGGGAAA